GGGACAGTGGCCGGCGCATAGTAGGTGCTTAATAAATGCTTGCCAATTGATTGACATAGGTGTTTGGAGAGATTTGAGCTAGTAAAGAAGGTCAGAGATTGAATTTGAGAAGAGAAATTTGTAAGAAACTGAGGAATGTTAGAAGGAGAACAATTTCCAGTTCCAGATGCTATTTCTAGATCTATGGGGTGGGGGGGAAAGGGAAAGTTCCCTTTAACAGGATCAAGAAGGATTACTGAGGATTAGGGGGGATCAAAGAAGATAATGTAGTAATGAATTGAAAAGGAAGATTCAGGGGCAGGTAGGTGGTGTAGCAGACAGAGCTTGGGCCTTGGAGTCAGGAGGACCTGAGTTCGAATTCAGACACATGACACTAGCTGTGTGACCCTGGGCACCATCATTTAGCCCTGGTTGCCTTTTAAAAAAAAAAAGAAAGAAAGAAAGAAAAGGAAGACTCAAAAGAAGGAAAAGGAGAAGATAGTTGGCAAAGAGAAGCAAGGTAAGTAGGAAAATGTAAGTGGAACACTTGGAGGGTTAAGCAAAAGTGGCAGAATGATTAGTGGACTGGACAAATTGGTGAAACAGATATGAGATTGGTGTAGAGCAGAAGGAAAGGGAGTGTGTGACTTCTGGATTGTTGAGAGAGGTGGGAAGGAGAGAAGTGGGGTGGGGCTGCTTGTACAATGACTTGCAACAAGTGTGTGGTGGTCATATTTCTGCCCCAGGCAAGTGACTATGGACTATTTTAAGTACAGAAGTGCTTTTCCACACTTCAGGTTGTTAGAGATAATGAAGTGTTCCTAAAGTAGACAGAATTAAGGGTTCATTGAGGGAAAATGAGATCTGAGGTGGAGACGGGTAATTGTTGTTTCAATGATGTCCCCTTTTGGGTTTTCTTGGTAAAGATATTGGAGTGATTGGTCATTTCCTTCTGTAGCTCATTTTATAGATGAGGAAACTGAGGCAGAGTTAAGTGACTTACCCACGGTCACATACCTAGTAAGTGTCTGAGGCTCTATCCATGCACCACTTAGCTGCCCAAAGGTCCAATAGATCTTTGTTTAATGAGTGAAAGACTGTACTAATAACTGTAGGGATCAGGAAAGATTTCTTGTAGGAGTTGGCACCCCTGGGTTTAACCATGAAAGAAGCTAGGAATTTGGGGAAAGCAGGTTGAAGTGAGAAGGGAGTGTATTCCAGGTATTGAAGACCTCCTATGCAAAAGCATGAAGGTAGAAAATGGAAGATAGAATGTTATGTAAAGGGAACAGCCAGCAAGGCAGTCTGCCTGGAATGTGAAGTATGTAGAAGGAAGTCATGTGAAACAAGACTAGATGGTCGATAAAAGCCAGACTGCGGAGGTCATAAATATTAGGCTGATGATTTTGTATCTTATAGTAGAGGCAATAAGGAACCACAAGAGATTTCTGATAAGGGATTTGCATGATCAGGGCTGTGTTTGAGGACTATTGATTTGGCAATTGTGTGAAAAAGGGATAGACTGAAAGCAGGCTGTCCAATTAAGAGTAAATCACAATTATGCCGATAAGAGGTGCTAAGGAACTATGCTAGAGCAGTGGATTTGTGAGTGGAAAGAAGGAGGATTGGAAAAATGTAAAAGAACAACTCATAAGACTTGGAAATTGATTAGATTGGGGGATGATTAAGAAAAGAGTTGAAAATGACCCCATAGTTAAATATCAGGGATGTTGGAAGGACAGTGGGACCTTGACAGACTATGGGAAGTATGGAGGGCGAGGGATAGATTTTGGGGAAAATATAAGTTTTGAACATGTTGAGTTTGAGATACCTACAGAGCCTCCAGGTAGAGTTGGCCAATAGACATATATGGAACTGTAGGTCTGTACGGTTCAGGAAAGTTATGGTTGCATTATATAGTTTTGGGAGTCATCTACATAGAGGGGATAATTAAATCTATGGGAGCTAACAGGATCATGGAGAGAGAGGGTGTAGAGAAAGAAAAGAGCCAAGAACAGAGTGAGTATCCATTCTTAGTAGGTAACAGAAGGATGATAACCCAGAAAAAGGACTATGAGAAAGAGTGGTTTGACAGGTAAGAGGTAACCCAAGAGAAAAGCAAGGGAGGAAAGTATATAAAGAAGGTGATTTACAGTGTCTAGACCTACAGAGAGGCCAGGTAGAATAAGAACTGAGAAAAGATCTTTGGATTTAGCCATTAGAAGACCACTGATAACCTTGGAGAGAGCAGCAGTGGAATCAGAAGCCAGATCCTAAAGGACTGAGAAATGAGTAGGAAGTGAGGAAATGATGGCACATGGCAAAGATAGCCTTTCCTAGGAGTTTGAAGAAAAAGGAAAGAGGAAGCTTGGGTGAAGTTTTGCCCTGGTGAAATTAAGGTTGTCATCAGATGTCCAAATAGGACTTTAGGGGAGGGTGAGTGATAATAATCCACAGTCACGTGACATACCCTCACAATGCCCCTGTGAAACAGGTAATACAAGTATTACTATCCCCATTTTGCAGATGCTATTCTAATAGTCTGGTTGGACAGAAAAATCCTTCTTGCAGCCTCTTAATCTTTTGTTTGTATGTGATGGATGTCTTGCTTAGGCGTTGTGAGCCAACATCTGGGGCCTCTGAAGGCCCCTTGGTAATAACGGCATTCCTTCATCCACCATTCTGACACGTATCAGCCGAAAAGATCTTTGCAGGAAACCTAAACCAGGGATCATTATTTATTAAGTGGTTATCTTTTGGTTGCTCCTTTTAAGTAACTTTCTTTTACGTAGCTTTCCTTCACTCCTTTGTTGGTTTTGACTCATTTTTTTCAGTAGTGTCTGACTCTTGGTGACCCTATTTGGGGTTTTCTTAGCAAAGATACTGGAGTGGTTCGCCATTTCCTTCTCCAGCTCATTTTACAAATAAGGAAACTGAGGCAAACAGGGTTAAGTGACTTACCCAGGGTCACGTAGCTAGAAAGTGTCTGAGGCTGCATTTGAACTCATAAAGATGAGTATTGCTGACTCCAGGCCTGGCACTCTATCCACTGAACACCACTGAAGCACCTAGCTGCCCCTTTATTCAATTAATAATCATTTATTAAACACCTAATTTAGACCATGCATTATTTTAAGATTTACAAAGCATTTTTGTATTATCTTACTTTATCCTCACAACAACCCTAATGAGACAGGTACTAATGAATAACATTAGCCTCATTTCACGTATGAGGAAAGTGAGCATCAAAGTGATTTGCTCAAGGTCACATGGCTAATCAATGTCAGGGACATTTATTTAAACTTAAGTCTTACTGATTTCAAGCCCAGCACAGATCTGGACCATTTAAATGCTTATTAAACATTTAACAATTAATTAAAAATCAGGAAGAGATATATTTATTGCAACAGAGCAAGAGAATACTAAAAAACTGAGATATACACAGCCTTCATACAACTCCTTGTAATAAGGACTGACCTATTGGACACCATTTATTGGAATTATAGAATAAATTTGAATGTAAACTACAATGGTATGTGGCTTCCACCATGTTTGAAACCACAAATCCAGACAAGATGAAAGAGAATGAAGGGAAGGAGAAACTCTTAGATTTTATTATCTATGGGGAGGAGACTGTTCTGAGATGCAGAATTCTTCAAGGCCATCCAGTTGGACAGTAGTGAAAAAGGTCCATTTTCATGCTTTTGGTAATAAGGATAGTTAATGGGCTAACTCAACTTGTCTGGAGCTGTCCAATTCTACTGGCTCTCCTATCCTCTAAAGTGCAGTGTAGAATATAGTGATTTTAATTTTAAGGTAATTCAAAGAAATTTGTTTTAACAGTTTTGTAAATGAAGATACTTTAAATTGTTGCCAGGCCAGTGTTGGGACTCACTGTTTTAACTGATTTTAAAATGGGAAGGAGGTAACTGGATTGGAAATTTCTCTACCTGTTGTCAATGCTGGCAGGGGACAGGAGGTGGGTTTTTTGTTTTAGTTTGTTTTTAAGATTAATTATAGGTGGCAGTGGTCACTGATGACATTAAGATTTTGGGGGGGGATGTGTGCTGTTGCATAAAATGGGATTATAAATTGTCTGGTATGTGAGGTCAGTTTGATATGCTCATGAGGAGAAGAAAGCCCCCTATTGTTTGATGCTCAGTACTGCACCCTGCTCAGTGCTTTGAATTTGTGGGATATACTGTCCTTTTTCATCACTACACTGTTCCATATGAAAATGACCTTAAAGAGACAACGGACCTTACAATAGAGTCTTTAATAACAGGTTGTTGTACTGGTGTGGTGGCTATGTGAATTATAAAGGGGATATGATTGATATAGTTCTGAAACCTTCACTCCTTTCCAGCCTGAAACCCAGTAACCTTAACAGGGTGGTGAGTAGCTGGGAGGTAAGACCTTCAGCGCAGGGGAGGTTTCTGGGTTTATCTGTCTTTGGGATTGGAGGAGATTAGGGGACTGGGAGTGGGGTGGAGACCGGGAGTTGTTGCCAGGAGGCTGGGGCAATAAGAGGCAGACCCTACAACTTCTGGAAATGTCAGTGTTTATTAAACATTTAACACATTTGGGGAGTCTTAGGGGAAATATACAGAATGTAGAAAAACTCTAGGCATTCATTTCCCTGTGGCCGGGACTGCATCCTATCTCTCGGTTCTTTTCTCTTTCCATTTTTGCTCTGCATTTAGTTTTTTAAAAGTCATTCCCCAAGGCCATGGCTTGGCTCACGCACCCTCCCTGCCCCCACCTCACTTCCCCACTTCCCCACGTGCCTTCTCCATATAGAAGTCCAGCCCCAGATCCTTGCTCCAAGGGGAAGAGGGAGGGGCACCTACCCTGGGAACAAAGGACCTGGCTTGGGCCAGCCCACTGATCGGCCTGGCTGTCCCTGTGTGGATTGAGCATAGAGTGGGGAGGGTATAACACTGAACATCAGAAGCCTCATGACGTCATTTGTTCTCAGTCATGGGGAAGGAGGGAAGACTGGGCACTACAGGAGAGCAGAAGGGGTAGGATGGATACACATAAAAAATAGCAAATAGATTATTTTTTTAAAAACCCTAAATCAACCCCCTAGGAAAGCTTGATCTAGGGCGTTAGCTGGGGATAGGAGATGGGGAACTAAAGGAGGGAGCTGGGTGATGTGTCTTGGAAAAGAGGGTAGAGGGAGAGGGGCAGGCTGAGTGGGAATGGGGGCCCCTCTCTTCTCAGCACCAAACACACAGCCATTATTAGGGTTGTAGGTAGGGGGGAAGAGCGGGCTCTGCTGGGCTCCCTGAGAGCCAGAGTTGGAGGGGAAGTGTGAGGTACCTGGGGACTATGGCTTGGAATGAAACTTACACCTTGGGGTGGGTTGGAGGGAGGAGAGGAGAGAGAGAGAGAGAGACTAGGCGGAGATGGGGGGCACTGGGCAGGGGTGGGGGGGAACCTAGGCCCCCATGTTCTGGCAGGGCCTGAGGGGGTGGTCACTTGTCTGAGTCCAGGCCCATCATGGTCTTGAGGGCGTTCTTGAGGCTGGTTCTACTGGGGGACTTGACGGCAGGCCGGAGCTCAGTGCCCGGCTCATCCCCTCGGAGCTCCATCTCAATGACCACTACTTGGGAGCCTTTGGAGGGCTCTGCCCCAGGCCCCCGGGCCCCTGCCCGGCCGGCTAACCGCTATTTCTTGTCTTTGCGAGACTCCCCAAGCCCTTTTTTCTTTTCACTAGCTGCTTTGGTGCTCCGGCTGTGGTCCAGCATAGCATACAGAACAGGTGTCTACAATAGGGCATATTGAACAGAAATCAGTTCTCCACACCCTCACACCTGCCCCATTCCTTTTTAACACCTCCTCCATCTTCTTTCTCTTTCTATGGTCTCTTGTCTATCATCCCCTCCCTGATAGCCCTTCTCCCCTGGATTCTTGGAGGTTCCACTGACCTGCCGGCCTCGTTTAGTTGAATCCTTGACAGGTTTGTGTAGCTTTCCCTTCTCCATGGCACTGCAATGAAAGGGGGGGAGGGGCTAGCATTGTGACTGCTGTAGGGGAGGCCCCCACCTGAGACTGGAGCCCCAGAGCTGCTGAGGTTTCCTTTCTCGGCTTCCTTTAACAAACCCCTCCCCACCTCCCACCTCCCACCCTATACGCAGTCCGGCCCCACCTGTGGTGGCCTTCCCTGATGGGCCTGAGGGCTTCCTACTCCCCCTTACCTGAGCCTTCTCTGCAGAGCAGCTTGCCTCCTGAGCCAACAGTATCGAATCAAATAGAAGAGAAGCACCAGCAGCAGCACCAGCCCCAGGACACCCCCGATCACAGCACCGAGCACCACTCCATACCTGGTGGGCACTGAGCACCAAGGGAAGGAAGAAATGAGCTTGGGAGGGGCAGGGATCTTCTGCCTGCTGCCCCTTACTTCTGAGGGGTCCCTCCCATAGGTAATAAGAAGGATGCCGAACTTCCCCCATGATAGCTGGCGGGTCATATTAAGCTTTATTTTTGCAGTGTAAAAAGACCAGGAGCCTTCCCCTTATAGCTTGTAATACAGACAGGCAGAGCACACGGTGTTTCCATTGTACCTTTGCAGTTAAGCTCTCTTTGGCTTTTTCTTTTCAGCAATCTCTGAGGTTCTTCTCTCAGGCCTATATGAGGTACTATTCATCTCCTAGCCCCACTCCCTCCTGTCTTCTGGACCACCATCCTAATTGATTTTCCAGTTTCCAATCTTTTCTCTCTCCAACATGTCCTCCACAGAGCTGCCAAAAATAAACTTTCCTAATGTACTTATTACTCTCTTGTTCAAAAAGTTGTGGCTCCCCATTGCCTCTGGTACAAAGTAAAAATTTCTCAGTCTGGCAGTTAAATTTGAACCTACCCACCTTTCCAGCTTTCTTTCACGTCAGTCCCCCCAGAAAAACTGTGTTCTAGCCAACCTGCCCTATTAGGTGTTGCTGAATGGAATGGTCCTATCTTTTGCTTCCTGAATTGGAACAAAGCATCTGCCATGCCTTGATGCCTCCTGGTGGAGACTGCCAGCCTGATGCTGCCTCACACTTCCTCTTATCTCCTTGGCTTCTTTCAAGGTTCAGCTCAAGAGCCAGCTCCTCTCTGAAGCCTTCTTTGACCCCTCCTTCCTTCATTAGTACTCCTCTTCCTCCATTTACTTGTGTTATACTTATTTGTATATTTGTTGTATGCCCCTGGTAGAGCCTAAGCTCTTTGAGGACAGGGATTGTGTTTTTGTGTTTTGTCTTTATATTCCCACTGTGTAACACAATGCCTTGTACATAGTAGTAGTTTAGTGAAAGTTCATTTGTTTAATTGAACCCCATCATTCTCTCTCTTCCTCCATCCCTTCCCCATCCTCATCCCCCATACCTTTGTCAAAGACGTAAAGTGTGACCTGAGAAGTCTTGCCAACAATGTCAGGTGGGTTTTTTACATCGCAGGTGAAGGTGCCATTGTCACTGTAGTCTAGATTGTGGATGACAATAGAGCCATCCTTCCACCGAGGGTCCCCAACCCATTGGATCCTCTCCTTGAAGGCACCCACTTCATCGATGTAGGGCTGGCCTTTGGTGTAGTGGAAAATCTATGGTATGGAATTCAGATAGAAGTGGGCCCAGGGTTCTGGTAAGTGGGGATGGGGGGAGCATTGCTAAGATTGTCTCTTCTCATCAGTGACCTAATCTAGCATAGGCACAGTGCTGGGGCAGAGTGGGATGGAAGGAGAGCGGGAATAGGGAATGATGCCAGGAGTGTGGGCACTTAGTCACAATGGCATCCAGGGGATGGACTGCCATCTGCCACCCATTGTTCCCATAATATCTCTGTCCCACTAAAATTAGGGTTAGGGCCCCTACATACTTCACCTCAACCCAAATTCTGTTCCTTCCTGCCCTTAGGTCCCTCTCTTCTGAGACTTAATGGCCCCCCCTTCAATTTTTTATTTGCTGGGTTGCACCCAGGCCCTCACCGAGATGGCGTCCCGGCCACCCTCAGGCTGGTAGCGCCAGGTGAAGGAGATGTCATCTGAGATCCACTCGGTGGACCAGAAGGAACAGTGCAGTGTCACTTTGGAGCCTACTTCGCCATGGACCTCCCTGTCCGTGTAAACTACGATAGCCCGGGCCGGGGACAACACTGAAAACACATGAGCCCCACCCAGGTCAGAGCTGGCAAGGATCTATACCAAGTACATGGTCAAGACAAGGAGCAATTAATATGAGGCGTGGGAAATCAGTGACCCAGGGGACCACACAAGCATGGAGAGGGTCAGGCCTGAGGAAATAAGAAAGGCAGAGATATAAATTATCTGTTCCTAAAGTCCTAAATCTCTGAGATCTCATCTGGACAGATCGGCATGAGCTATGTATCTGTCTCTGCTTTTCTTTATATACTGTGGGTCAAAAGAAACCAACACTACAAGTGAATCATCTTAATGCCTTTCGAGAGGTAAAGGGTGGATTATGACTGCTTTCCCACTCTCTGTCATCTGTGCCTCTTTCCCTCCTCGCTCCATTTTTATTGAGTCTAAACAGAAGAGAAAAGTTAAAGAAATGACCACAGAATGGGAACTTCTCCTCGATGAAGGTCAGGGCCATGTTGCCTGGCCATGGACTTTGTAGGACACAAACTTTCTAATATTCATCTACTGTAGTGATTGCACCCAACTGAAAGAATAGAGACAGTTCTGGGTATCTCCTCTGCCTTTGCCGGGAAGACAATATTTCTGGCCTTAGATCTTTTAGGGTGAGGTAGGTATCTAGGATAGGAGACACTGAGCCAAGCTCCCCTTCTGTGCAGGGAATTAGCTTTGGACTTGTTAGCTAGTTAGGGTCCAGGGTTAGAATCAACTTAGTCTTCCTTTGGCCAGCCTTGGAGCCTTGGCATCTTGGGTGAAAAAGATGAAACAGGACCATTCACTCCTGTCTCTCACTTAGCCCAGCTGGGCAGGGACTTTTGCCTGAGGGATGTTTAATCAGGACAAAGATGCACACATAGCCCTTGCTCCCCATAGAACTCTCCTGAGATAATGGGCACCTTCTTTTCCATCTGCCTTTGCAGATATTGAAGCAAAAAACCAAATATAGGCGTTTTGACTTGAAGCCTCTTTTAAGCATTCTACCTTTGCTCCCTCTCCCTTAAAGTCCACTGTGGCCCTGTGTCTCGACCCAGGGCTGGCACAAGGGAAGTGCTGACAGGAACACTGTGTGTGGGCAGCACCCCAAGGGGGTGATGGTGGCTGAAGGCCCCTTTGTTCCCTGTGCTGAAAGACGGCGTGGGGTGGAGGTGGGGTGAGGGATTAACCAAGCAGACAGTGCTCTATTGTCTGGCCGAAATGAGGGGCCTGGCCTGGTTGGCATGCGTGCCCCACCCCCAACGCTTCCCCCATACCTGAGTCCTCCACCTCAGCATATAGGAACATCACAGACAGCCTCTGGCAGAACCTCCCCCAGTAGGGAAGTTCTTCCTCAGGTCCAAATCCTATCTCACCTTCATTGGTGTAGACCCTTGCCCCTCTGCTCAATCAACAAGAGGTTTATTGTGAACAAAGCACTTGATAAATCTTGGAGCTCCAAGTAAACAAGTTATCGTGGTCATTATTATCTCCTCTCCATCCCCATCTCTGCTGTTCCCCACCCTCAGCTTTTTCTTGAGGTGATGAGAGGCTCAGTATAGCCTACCCAGGACAGCTGAAGTTCAAGGCTTTGGGTTCCTCAGAGACTGCTGTTCTGATTTGCCCCACTCCATCTTACTCATTTCTCCCCATTCCCCACCCCCTTCTCCAGGCTTTGGGCTGCCAAGAACCCTGCAGATAGGCCTTCCCTTCCTTACCCACCCACTGCATGACATGCCAAGCTGAGGAGAGGAAGAGAAGGATGTCAGAATGCACAGAAAGCAAGATGGCTCTATAAGAACAGTCTAGCACCTGTATCCATCCTACCCAACCCTCCCAACAAAGACAGGCAAAGACAGGAGTTGTTCCTCCTAAGAACCTTGACAACTAATTAGTTCCAAGATCCCTCCCCCAGATCACACTTGACTTTTTCTCATGTGGTCAACTATCAGGATTCTTGTCAGAGTGTGCTGAGGGGTGGGAGGGTGGGTGCTAAGTGGAGACTGGGGACCAGGTATACTGATCTTGCCCCCTCCGCACCCTCCCTGACATCTGTCTTGGCAGACTCTCAGCTATAGCTCTGAGAGCAGCCTCTTTTCCCCCATCTGGGTTTCAGCACAGCCCAGTGAGCTCTCTACAAACATCCATACACACAACCTCTCCCTCTAGAGTATGTCTGTCCCCCTTCATCTCTTCCTCCCCCCTCTGCCTTATACCATGTTCTTGTTCTCTTGGAGATAGGGGTGGTATGAGCAACAGGGAAATAAGGGTATGAGGGCGCAAGGTAGGAAGGCTGGGAGATAATGGTATAAGATACAAAGATGTGTTTGAGTGTGCCTTTGAATGTAGAGGGTGAATGGGGGGGAGCATCTCCACTTACCCAGAAAGGAGAAGAGCAGCACAGTCAGGACGGGAATGGGGATGGCTGGGGAATCCCCAGGAGCCATGGCTGGGCCTGGGGTTGGGGCCAGGACGCCTGAGGGCCTGGAAAAGTCCTGGGAAGAACAAGAAACTGAGCAGGGTCTCCTGGAACCCGCTTAAAATCCCCTGGGGATCCAGCCTGGGTGGGGGGGCTGGCCTGAGTCAGCGGCCAATTGCAGTATGGCATGTGCAATTGGGGGGTGGTGGGGAGGGAAAAGAGGAGGGGGGCAGAGCTTAGGGTGGAGAAGGAGCATTGTGTGCCCTGGATTGGGAGGCAGGGTGCATACTTCCCTACACAGACTGCTTTGTGTGAAATGGCCTCCCTTCTCCCCTATGTGGAATGTTAAGGGGGGTGGTGGTGGTGATGAAGTAGAGACAGCAGCAGGGACAGGGATAGAGACACACAGCTCTCAGATGAGGAGGGACAATGAAACCCATCCTAGGTCCCCAGGGAGCCCTTTTGAGGGGCTCCTCCCTAGTGTCCTCACCTTCCATCTACAAGCTGGGGGATATGTGTGTATGCGTATAGGAGTGAGGACATTTTTACCCAAAGATCTCCTAAGAAGATGCCCTTGTCTTCCCCTCTTGGGGACTTTTGCGGCCATACAGACCTCTGGAGATGTCTAGGTCCTCTAGGACTTACCTTACTCATCCTCCTTGCTTTCTGAGCAGAGGGATCTCTTGTCTGGGGAGAAGCCCTTTTCCTCTTTCCATTCCTCATGACATGTGTCCTTCTGAGTCAGGAAGCTCTTCCTTTCAGCAAACATTGGTGTTATATACTATTATCACTGTCTCTTTTCTTTGTTTGAATTCTCATTGGCTGCAACCTTGGGGATTCTAACTTTAAATCTCCCTTTACTCTCACCCCTTCTCCAGCTAGGCAGGGCCTCTCTAGTGTCAGACAAGGTGCTGTCCTATTTTCTTCTCACCTTTCCTATTTCTCCTTCTCTGCCTTATACTATCCATCCTTGTTCTCCTTCTCGGGGCAGAGGGTGGATGCTATGACAGATGGGCATGCTAAGGTATAAGGTGGGAAGACTTGGAGATGACTCAGCCTTCCCAGATGAAGGGCAGCAACTACACTTACCCCGGCAGAAGAGAAACACAGTCAGGACAGAGTTGGGGATGACAGAATATGGGAATCCCAGGAGCCATGGCTTGGGCAGGAGTTGAGGCCAGAAACACCTGAGGGCTTGAAAGAGACACAGAATAAGGGCTCCTGGAACCCTCTCACCTGGCCCAATCTTAGTGACTATGCTTACCCACCCTAATTCAATTTGCTGCTGTAGATGAAATTCCTTGCTTTTCAGTCAGCTAGTTTGCTTCAACTCCGTCTACAATCTCTGGTCTGTGGCTGTGACCTGGTCCATGATGTATATAAGGATATATTTGTTATTTAAGATTTTTCAACTACAAGTGCCATCCTTTTTAGTATAAACAAGATACTACAGCTAGCTCTTAGAAGATAGCTATCTTATGTAGCTCTGTGTATGTGTGTATATATACCCCTCTCCCCACACCCACATATCTCTGTAGCCCAGGTATGACGCATTTTGTTGTTCTGACATTTCAGTTGTGTCTGATTCTCTGACCCCATTTTAGGGTTTTCTTGACAAAGATACTGGAGTGGTTCGCATTGTGTGACACAGATCCCAACTGTCTCCAGGGTGTCTCTCTCTTGAGTGGGGTTGGTTGGATCACCCTACTTTTACTTACCCCAGAGAGTCTACGTTGAGGCTATTACTCCAGCTCTGAGATTCCTATGGGTAACCCTATTGTGGGCTAGTCCCACTAACATGCTCCTCCACTGCGGTATTTCCCATTCAACAAATTAGCCACTAAGACTTAATTGATTTTTTATAAAAAAGATTATTTTTAGGATAGGCCTCCCCATATATGCTGAAAAATGTTCAGTAGCCACTGATAAGTTTGATCCCATGGCCAGTTAGCATAAAAGTTTTGGTCTGTTCTATTTCCAGCCTGGGCTATTTCATCCTTCCTTAAGCAGTCTGGTGCCCCTTACCCCCCAGTCCCCCAGGGGCTCACCGTATTGGTGCCAGACTTAGTGAGGACACCTGATGAACTTTATCCCTTGTGAGCTCAGAACTCCTGTCTCAGCCTCCCACAGTAGGTGAGATTATAGATATATATTACTACACCTGGCTACTCATTAATCTTAACTGAAATATTTACTGAAAATGAAAAGCAAGCACATAGTATTTACATAACATTCCACCCATGAGTGTCAATCACGCTATCCTATCTATGCATAGAATCCATGGGGAAAGTTAACAGACATTCAAGTCTTCGGCTAGTATTACCTACAAATAGCCAGCACGAACTCACAGCTCTGGAACTATGGACTTCAGTATTCTCTTTCTTTTTATCAAAGCAAATGAGATAATATTGGTAAAGCATTCAGTATGGTGCCTGGCACATAGTAGGCACTTAAAGAATACTTATTCCTTTACCTTTCCTTTGTTCACCCTGTCTCAGGAACTGTCAATAAAAGCTCTTTTGAACATAGGTTCTGTGTTAAACATATGCTTCTGCTACTAAGCAGAACTGATCCACATTGTGTTTAACTAACACTTCAATGGGCATGACATCTTAGATTAGTCAATCCAATGGGCTGCCTCTCTAATGCTCTCCTTCCAAGCTTCCCTCTGTTTAGCTTCTTCATAGAAGAAAATCATATTGGAGAACAGGGTATATTCTCTTACTCCTAAAGCTGCTTACTCCTAGATAGTAGCTGTAGAATCTGTCACTTTCAGCTTTGGATTGCTGATGCCTTTGGCCAAATTTCAGTTATGCCTTTTTAGGAAAAAGAAAAACAAACATTATCCTAAGATTAATAAAAACTACTACTACTACTTCTTCTTCTTCTTCTTCTTCTTCTTCATCTTCTCCTCCTCCTCCTCCTCCTCCTCCTCCTCCTCCTTCTTCTTCTTCTTCTTCTTCTTCTTCTTCTTCTCTTCTTCTTCTTCTTCTTCTTCTTCTTCTTCTTCTTCTTCTTCTTCTTCTTCTTTCTTCTCCTTCTCCTTCTTCATAAAAGAGAGCACAGGTTGTTGCCTCTGTTCCTTATTCTTCTTCTCAGCAGCTGGTGGCAGTACAGAGCACTGTAGCCTCTCATAGGTCAACCTGAACAGTGGAGGAAAATATTCACACTGTTCTGAAATCTGTTCTTTCACTTCTCACCTCTTCTCTCTTCCCAAACCTTTTCTGTTCTTTGTTTTGTTTTGGTTTTGTTTAGCAGCTGGTTCTTCTCTAGGAAAGGTCCCACTTAGTGACCAAATTCTCATCTGTCAAAAATCAAGTAAATTACATTTGCCTCATAATCTTTTTTTTGTTTGTTTTAAAAAAATTTTTTTGCCTCATAATCACAGAACAGTTCTGGTGTCCATATTTCCCTAGTTCTTAACCTAAAACTTCTCCATTTCTTCATATACACATCACTAAAGCAGACTGTTTTCTCTATTTGCTTCAATGTTCTACAGCTTGTCATATGCAAATGAGCAACTGTTATCTTAGAACTCTGTGTCAGACTTGATTCAGTAGCTGCTTTTCTTTGAACACTGAGATGGACCTATGCCCCAGACAAGTAAATTATCAAGGGTTACCAATAACATATATATACATATGTGCATGTATGTGTATATATATGTATGTTCGTAGATAGATATACCAATGAGATGTCCTGGCCTCAAAGCTAGGAAGACCTGAGTTCAACTCCCATCTCTGAAATATACTGGCTTTGTGACCCTAGGCAAGTCTTCTAACCTCTCAGTATTCCAAGCAACTCTCTAAAGGATGGTGTTAACCTGCGCTGGTAGAGGGTAGGCAAGATGGCTGAAGGTGATGATAAGGGCAGGACACATGGTCCCTGGGAGTACAGAGATGAGTGTCTTGGCTCTTTCTGGGTATGTTCTCTGGAGATCCACCATGAAATTTATTTTTTGAATCCAAATGTAAAACTTTACATTTGTCTCTATTGAATTCATCTTATTATAGTTGGTCCAATGCTCTAGCTTGATGAAATTTTTTTGGGTGGGGTGAGGCAATTGGGGTTAAGTGACTTGCCCAGGGTCACACAAGTGTCAAGTGTCTGAGGTTGGATTTGAACTCAGGAACTCCTGACTCCAAGGCTGGAGCTCACCTAGCTGCACTTGATGAGATTTTTTTTTGAATCCTGATTATTTTCCAGTATGTTTGCTATCTCTCATGGCTTTGTGTCATCTGCAAATGATTGCAGATGGGAGCTAATTAGAGGTAGGTAGGACACTTGCTCCATCATGATGTTTTTGCACAGGACATACTGTAGAAGTGATGTGTAATAATAATAATGATGATGAAAAAATTTATTAAGCATTATGTGCAAAGCTCTGTGCTAAGCATGGGAAATACACAAAAACAAAGATTTTGTATAGTATGTGTAACATATGATATCTAACATTTAAATGGCACTTTGAAGTTTGCAAAATAGTATATATGTGTGTATACACATACACACACATATACATGTAGAGATTTTATATTTATATATGTGTATACATGTATCATATAATCTCATTGGACCCTCATAACTCTGTGAAATAGGTACTATTATTATTCCTATTTTAAGAGTGGAGATAGGGATTTCATTGGTATAGAGAACTCTCTGGTAAGGAAACCTCCTCTATCAATGCAAGTTGGCACCTTCTCTGCAACTTATAATCTTAGAGGGTGGCCTAGAGCACTGAAAGGTTAAGTGACTTTCCCAAGGTCATCTAGCCAATGTATGTCAGAGGTAGGACTTGATTACAGGTGGGTACAATGCTAGCTGTATTTCTACCATACCAAGATACCTCATTTCCCCATTTTCAAATGAGGAAACTAAAGCTAAAAAAGGTTAAATGATTTGCCCAGAGTCAAACGGCATTTAATGTTTGTGGCAGTTTGAGGTCTTCTTGACTCAAAGCTCAATACTCTTTCTACAGTTACTGGGTTTTATATTTTAGGTTAAGTTGTAAACATGGGGTTCAGTCCCTACATCCACATATAGAACTAGGTTTGTTACTCTTCAGCTGATCCACACATTCCCACTTCAGGTAATTTCCCCCAACAACTATATAACAGCTAGAATTTACACAGTATTTTAAGGTTTGCAAAACATTTTACTTACAATATCTCATTTAGTATTATTGGTATTTTTATCCCCATTCTACAGATGAAGAAACTGAAGACCAGAGAAGATAATTAAGTGGCACGACCAGGGTCATAAAATTAGTGTCAGAGATGGGTTTGAGCCCCTGTCTCTACTGACTCGAAGTCCAGCACCTTATTACTATACCATACTTTTCCTCAATATAAGCATATTTCGATACTTAAAGAATATCAGTATGGCTCTTTTGGTTCAATAGCTGGGTTTTAGAAAAAATTTTTGTTGTATTTAAGAGACTTATTATTAAATAATTCTATGGTGATTCCTTCTACAAAATAAATAATAACTCTCCAATGTAATTTATACAAATTTTCATTTTTACATACTGTTCAGTATGTACGGGTTATGGTATATGAAAAATCCAAATGTATATATTTTTGAAATAATATTTTATTTTCCCCCAATTACATGTAAAAATAATTTTTAACATTCATTGTCTTTTTTTTTTAAGTTTTGAGTCCCAAATTCTATCCCTCCCTCCCATCCTCCCTCCCTGAGATGGCAAGCAATCTGATATAGGTCATACACTGCAATCCTGTAAAACATTTCCATATTAATCATTTTGTGCAAGAAAACTCAAAAAAAGAAAAGAAAAAGAAAGAAAGTGAAAAATAGTATGCTTTGGTCTGTATTCAGATGACATCGGTTTTTTTCTCTGGAGGCACACAGCATTTTTCATCATGAGTCCTTTGGGATTGTCTTGGATCATTTTATTGCTGAGAATAGCTAAGTTACTCACAGGTTTTCATTGTACAATATTGCTATTAATATATACAATGTTCTCCTGGTTCTGCTTACTTCACTTTGTATCAGTTCATGTAAGTCTTTCCAGTTTTTTTTTCTGAAATCGTACTGCTTGTCATTTCTTATAGCACAATGATGTTCCATTGCAATCATATACCACAACTTGTTCAGCCATTCCCCAATTGTACTATTCCCCTTAAAGTACTATTCTTAGCCACCACAAAAAGAGCTGCTATAAATATTTTTGTACAAATAGGTTCTTTCCCCTTTTTGAAAAAAATTCTTTGTGATACAAACCTAGCAGTGGTCTAATGGTACCCACAGCTTTATAGCCCTTTGGGCATAGTTCCAAATTGCTTTCCAGAATGGTTGGATCAGTTCGCAACTCCATCAACAATGCATTAGTGTCCCAGTTTTTCCACATTCCCTCCAACATTTACCATTTTCCTTTTTTGTCATAATAGTCAATATTAGTCATATTTTGTCATATTAGTCATTTTTTTGTCATATTATTGTCATGATGAGTGAGGTGGTACCTCAGAATTGTTTTAATTGGCATTTCTCTAATCAATAGTAATTTAGATCACCAAATATATCTTTTTTAAAAATCATATTTGTGAGTGAGCCAAAGGGCAAAGGAGAGATACATGGTTAACTGTAGCATATTTTATGACATATGTGCAGGGTTTTGCTGGTAAATATTTAATAACCAGCTCTCCAGGAAAAAAAAAGTACATACAGTATACTTTTAAATATAATCTGCATTACTAACATTTTCTCCATCACTTTCTTCAGTCTGAAGTGGCAATAATCAACAACACAATCAATCAATATCTGATTTGTAGTGTCTGCCTTTCTGAGGTATAAATACTCACACTGAAAATTTAATAATTGGCTCTGGATATCTAGTACAGCTGGCTGCAGCATACTTCTGCTTAAGTGCAAGCAGAGATTTAAGGTTTGTGATGAGGCAAATGTGTATTTGGAAAAGGATGTGGGCCAGTCATGTGAGAGTAAAGGCTTATTAATGCACAGAGTACTGAGACTAGAAACAATGAAATGTTAATTTTTTTTTAAAAAAGGCCTACAGAAAGACCTCTAGTACATTGGATAGCTCCTTTGTTGAGGATTTATGAGAGAACATGGACGGGTTGCTGATCTCTGAGGGAGACTGAGTGAGTATCCACATCAATGAGATTCACTGACATTTTGAACTATCACATTCATATAACAGGGTTCATCATATTTTATGGAAATTATCTTTCTCATTTTTTTAACTGTCAGCTATTGTGGCATCTTGTGAAATTTCCAGGCTGAAATTCATCAAAACTGTGAGATCATCAGAACCTGGAAATCTCTCTGCCATTTTGGGAAACACAGATGCATCATGGTGTTGATCATCTTCTTCCCCTTGATATTCTTTTTCTCTAGGCTTTCAGGACATCACTCTCTCCTCATTTTTATCTTACTGCCTGCCTGACTGCCTGCCTACCTGACTCTACCTGCCTTTTCTTAATTTCCTTTGTTGGATCTTCATCCAAGTCACACCTGCTAAGCATGCATGTCCCACAAGGCTCTGTCCTGGGCCCTCTTCTCCATCTGTACTATTTCATTTAGTGATCTCATCAGCTTCCATCTATTCAATTATCATCTCTATGCTGATGATTCTCAAATCTTCTTATCCAGCCTTAACTTCTCTGCCGACCTTCAGTCTCAAAACTCCAAACTGCCCATTTGACATCTCAAACTGGATGTCCTATAGACATCTTAAACTCAGCTTATCTACTGAACTCATTGTTTTTCTCCAAACTCTCCTCCCTTCTAAACTTCCTTATTACTCTTGACAGCACTACTGTCCTTCCAGTTCCCCAGATTTGCATCTTAGGTGTCATCCTTGACTCCTTAATGTCTTTCACACCTCCTTATTCAATCAGATGCCAAGGCCTGTCAATTTCACCTTTGCAACATCTCTCCTTTTTGTACTCTGACATGGTCATCACCCTGGTATAAGCCATCATCACCTTATGCCTGGACAATTGCAATAGCCTGCTGGTGGTACTGCCTGCCTCAAGTCTCTCCCCTCCATCTCTCTCCACTCCATCCTCCATTCAGCAACCAAAGTGATTCTCCTAAAGCATAAGTCTGATCATGTCATCTTCCTACTCAGCAAACTGCAGTGGTTCCTTATTACCTCCACAATCAAATACAAAATTCTCTTTATGGCATTCGAAGTCCTTCATAACATAGCCCTGCTTCCTCCTCCCTCCTCTAGTATTCTTACACCTTACGCATATTCTTTAATACAGAGAAATTGGTCTTCTTAACATTCCTCAAACAAGACACTCCATCTCTCCATGGGGTGTTTTCACTGGCTGTTTCCCATGCCTGGAATGCTGTCCTTTTCACCTGTACCTCAGAGCTTCTCTCATTTCGTTCAAGACCCAGCTAAAATCCCACTTTCTACAGGAAACTTTTTCCCATCCCCTTAATTCTAGTGCCTTTCTTCTGCTATTTCTTATTTATTCTGTAATAACTTGTTTATACATAGTTGTTTGCATGTTGTCTCCTCCCTTAAATTGTGAACTTTTCTGGGAGCAGACTATTTTTTGTCTTTCTTTGTATCCCCAGTATTTAGCAGAGTGTCTGGCACATAGTAGGAGTTTAATAAATGCTTATTGACTAATTGGTGAAATGAAGAGAGTGCTGGCAGGAGAACCTGGGCTCCCAACTGTACCACTTACTTTCTTTGTGACCCCAACAGGATCACTTACCCTCAGTATCTTAAGTTTACTCATCTCTAAAATAAGTGTCTAACCCTACCTCTGAAAGTTATTGTGAGGATCTGAGGGTCTTCAATGTATTAACAGAAATACTCTTTCCTGGTCAGAAGATTTGTGGACAACTGAGTTCAATTTTGGGAGCCACATTTTAAGGGGAACATTGACAAACTGGAGCAAATCCAGAAGTGGGTGATCTGGATGGTGAGAGGGACTTGAAACCATGTGACATGCTCACAAGAACAGAGGATGTTTTGCCTGGTGAGTAGAAAACAAGGAGACATTATAACTGTCTTCATGCATTTGAAGAGCTTTCATTCAGTTCCAAAAGTTTATGATTTTGTGCAGAATATGATTAGATTTATTTTGTGTAGCTCCAGAGCTCAAAACTGGGACTTAAGAGTAGAAGTTACAGAGATGTGGATTTTAGTTCATTATAAGGAAGCCCTTTCTAATTGTTAGAGCTGTCTAAATATGTGTGTCAGGGAATTCACATATCATTTCAGCTGAAAAGAAAGGATTAGAGATCAGTTCAATCCTTTCATTTTACTGAAACTGAGGCTCAGAAAGCTCAGATGTTTTGCTCAGGGGGACATAGCTAGCTAGCTGGCAGAGCTAGGACGCAGTCCAAGGAATATTCTTTCTATTATGCCTTCCTTCCCTTCTTTCCTTCCTTCTTTCATTCTTTCTTTCTTTAATCTTTCTTTCTTCAATCAAGAATGTTGGACTTTGGAGGGAGTGGAGATTTATTGCATAATTCCCCTTCTCTCTCCTCCCACTTGAGGTTAATAATTGAGTTAATGATTATCACCATTTAATTAATGATTATCACTCTTTCCACCTATATACCACCACAGACACCTCCCTCATTCCTCAATACAAACCCGTCTTAACCTCACTAAAAGGTTTCTGTGCCTGTAGGCATCACCCACACAGAATAGAAACAAGGTACACAAAAAGGGTTTGGGGCAGTGTGGGGTCCCCATTGGGGAAAAGCCATAATACACAGTAAGAGGTGAAAAGCCATTAACTTAAATTCTGTGAAAGGTGGAAGCCTGGACATGGTAACCTATTAAAAAATCATAACTTAGAGGCTGAATCATAACTCAGATACTGAGTCATAACTTGGATACTGTGACTGGTACATGACCGATTTATTACCAGTATTCAATGACCTTGAGTGCCTGAGCATTTACCCAACAATGCTGGATAAACACCTGGATGTCTGGGAACCAGGTTCAATATTAAGTATAAACTAAAATATTAGCCAGAACATTAACTAAGCAGAAAATCCCAAAATATTAGCCAATCTGAAGTGAAGCACCCTATGGTTCCTCCTCCCGTTGTCTGATTTCTATAACTACCACAGGGATTTTGGGGGGTCTAAGAGAGGATCCAGTGAATCCTCTGGCAGCGACCCTGGATTGCCCCATTTGTAAGTATTCACAATGATTGATTAAACTCTTATAATCAATCTGGAGCCTCTTGGCCTCTTCCTTTGGTATCAAACTCACCCCACAGTTATAGGAGAGGAATAGAGTTCCCCAACTAGGGGAATTCCAGGTTTTACAGGCAGAATGGTGGGCATATTGATTAAACTCTTATAATCAATCTGGAGCCTCTTGGCCTCTTCCTTTGGTATCAAACTCACCCCACAGTTATAGGAGAGGAATAGAGTTCCCCAACTAGGGGAATTCCAGGTTTTACAGGCAGAATGGTGGGCATGTTGTTCAAGGGACAGCTTAGCAGTGGGTAGAAAGAGAAAGATGAAGGGAGAAGAGAGGAGCTATCTTGGGAAGGTGTAGTTTGGGAGGTTGGATGGTGCTTCCTGCCCCTCTAGTTGAGATATGATTTGCCTGCTTCCCACTATCCCTAATCCCCGTAACTCCTATCCTGAGTCTCATTCAAAGGTGAGCTGGAGATGGATATCTAATTATCAGGGACCTTCAGTTGGTCCTATTCCTCCATCTTTGATGAAATAGCTGATGGTGGAAAGTCCCACGTCAGGGAAGCTCAGGCCTGAGCCAGCCAAGAGGCTGGAAGACCCAATGCAGGGAGAAGAAAAAGGACTGAGTGAAGTGAGCTTGTGTGTAGTGGTGGAGGTGGAAAGGGTTGTGGTGTAAAAAATCTGTCTTAATTACCTATAAGTATTTTCTCCTAATAGTACAATGCTGTGCAGAAAGTAGTAGTTTAACTTACAGTTGATGAATGCATGAGAGAGAAAGAAAGGAACAAATGAATGGAGTAGTCTGGAATAGGGAAGAGGAGAGAGAGGAAAGGAAAGGAAGACCTGAGGTATCCTGCTGTATAACTGGTACAAAATAGGGGGCACCTTGGTATTGTGTAAAAAGCATTGAGTCCAAAGACCTAATTAGGTTTGAATCCAGGCTGTATTGTTACCAGTAAGACCTAGGGCAAGTCACCTAACAATAGCAGGCATGTACATGGCACTTTACAAACGTCACTTTCTCCTCATAACGATGCTGTAAAATAGATGCTGCTAATTTTACAGATTTTTACATTTTACAGATAAGGAAACTGAGGCAGTCTGGTTCTGATTTGCTAGCGTCCGGGGAAGAATCAGGTCTTCCCAACTTTGGTACTCCACTCTATCCACTGGGCCACCTAACGTCTCTGTGGGCCTCAGTTTCCTCATTTGTAAAAACAGAGAGATGGAAGAGGCGTCCTTTAAGTCCTAAGAGTCTTACGGCTATACACATTGAGATGCAAAATTCGGCGGAGAGAAAAGAAAGGGCCACAGACGCTTTTTTAAGGAGGTGGCAGCGCCAGCTTGACCTCTGAACCTATTCTAACGGCGAGGGGAGGATAAGCGAGTGACCCGGGCTGACAGCCTAAAGAAGTCACAAGAACCTTTTAAGGACAACCAGCTCGCCACGTGACCAGGGAACACCCGGCTCCCGGGCACCGTGAGCGCGCAGCCGCGTTGGCGTCACTTCCGCCCAGTTGAGATCCGCAAGATGGCTGCTCTCTTGTTGAGGTGACTTTAGCCTGGGAGCTGGGAGCGGCGGTTCCCTGGGAGGGAGGGGGGTGAGGAGGGGATCGTCATGACCCAGCGGGCGCCGCGCCACTGTGTGAGTGGGCCGGGGAGGGAAGCGGGGCTGTGGGGGCTGCCTTCCTTTCCGTGGCTGGGTCCTTAGAAAGGGGCGAAAAGGGCCCGGACTGCTCGCCGACCCTGCCCCCCCCGTGAGCGCGCTCCCGCGAGGTTCAAAGGTCATCCTTGTTTTCCAAGCCGTCGCTCCTACAATCCACCTGAAATTTAGTTAAGGTTCTTGGCCTTCGCGCTCCCCTGCCTCCTTTATTAATTAACCTTGTACTAGCCATAGCTGTGTACATATATTACCCTCCCCGTCCCCCGTGGCAGCGACTTTAGGGCAGGGGCCTGTTTTGTTTATATGTTTGTATTACCACTAGGCATTTAAATAAATGTTGAGTTCCAAGGTGAGAGGAGACTAAATACACAATAACTGGTAAAAGCGTAGAGGGGAAGTCTAGACAAAGAGAAATTTGAGGAAGGAAGGTGGTGGCAGTCAGGGTTGAAGGTTATGACCTAGTTGGAAGAGAGAGGTTTAAGCAGGTGGGACAAAAAGTCCGTTGGCCGGTGGACTGGAGGGGGAGGCGGGGACGGGGACCGACGGGACTATTGGAATAAAAACATTGATTTAACTCAGTAAACATGTATTAAATGATGAGTTTATTTTTGGATATCTAGATGGAAATAAATCAACTGACACTGGTGCTTTCTGGAAAGTTGAGAGGGGGGAGTCATCTGCGCAGAAGTGATCATTGAAGCAGTGAGTGTGGATGACATTGCCAAGTTTTGTAAAATGTGACTTTAGTGGTAGTGTTGAAGTATTGTTCAGTCTCTTGATTTTCCCAATACTTTTTTTTTTCTTTTTTGGAGGCCCTCAGGGTTAAATGACTTGCCCAGGGTCACAGAGATAGTAAGTGTCTGAGGTCACGTTCGAACTCAGATCCTCCTGACTCCAGGTCAGGTGCTCTATCCATTGCATCACCTAACTGCCCTTACTCAAATACTTCAAACATTTCCTTGCCATCTAATAGTTCAGTCAATGTAAAAACAATCATAAGGGTCTTTGATTTTTCCCAAGGAAGAAAAAAAACTTTCCCTCTTTACTTTTTTTTCTCCCTAGGAAATGGCAAGGTCAGGTTTGCCGAAGTTCCCTACTTTGTGTGTGATGGGTGGTTTCAGTGCTTGATTTTAGCTATGTTGCAGAGTTACCTAGTATGCCACATTATTACTATGGAATTAGTACTTATTCCCATTATTACTATTACTAGTACCAGGGAACTTTGGTGTAATTAAGACGTGGCCTTAATACACTGGTCAGTAGTTTTATATCTTGGTCCCCCTAGACTCCAGGGCATCTAGAGCTGATCGCATTGCAGTCACAAGAAGTTCAGTTTGGAGATTTCAGTCATAGTATTTAGAAGCTGAAGCACACCAGTGGCAGATGTCTTTTGGCCAAGGCATCCACCTTTATGTAGTCCAGCCACCAAATAGAATTAATTCAGTGCCAAGGAATTATTTTCTTTCATTTGACAGTAAGCTTCATGATGGCAGATATTGTGTCAATCTTGTATAAACCTTTTATATATTACCAAGTGCAGGAGTGAGTCAATGTAGAGAGGATGGAAATACTCAGAGATTGAAATCTGAAGTTACAAAGAATACGAGCTGAGGTGAAGAAAAGAGAGTTATCAAAAAATACAGATAGGATGCACTGCTATTCATTTGGCTTCACTAAAGAAATTAAATGATTAAAGATTAAAAGACTATAGTAATGGGAGGTAATTGAAGATGAGTACAAAAGTGAGGCATTGCTCTCTAAGAATAAGGACAAGGGTGCTAAAGCTCTGAGTGAGCAGAGGCTGGTGAGATCAAACTAAGAACAAAAAGGAGGGGTATTTTTCTTTTAGCTTTTTTGGGGAAGAGAGACTCAGGGAAAGGATAGAACTGCTTTGTGGTATATAGGACAATGATAGTGGATGACTAGAGAAGGCAGAGCAGTTCAGCTCCTAATTTTGCTTGTTTTCTGTGCCAATGATCATTTGCCTTCAGAGGAGAGCAAAAATGGTCAGTAGGATATTGCAACCCAGTATAAGTGAGGAAGGTAGAGAACATCCAGCTGCCTTTGATGAGTTCCTTATCATATTTAGATGAGATGTCTTTGTTGAGCCATTGTTGGTGATCTTTGAAAGACTGTGACATGCCCAGGGAAGGTACTGTAGAAGTGGTGGATGAATGTCCTGCTTTTCAAAACAAGTCAGAGAATGGACTGTGCAAAGTATAGGATAATGGGCATGATTTAATTTCCTAACAGAATTGTAGAATGTATTTTTACAGAGCTGGTTAGTGAATCGACAGGGTTTCTTAACAATTAAGAGATAATTGGTAACTTTGGAGAGAGTTGATTAAATGATAAGGTGAGAAACCAGGTTGCTGAGGGTTTAGAAGAGAGTGAGAAGAGAGGAAGTGGAGGCATTGAATGTGGATGGTTTTTTCTGAGGAATTTAGCTGAGAAAAAGTAAAAAGATATAGGATGATAGCTTGAAGGGATGGTAGAGTCTTTTTTTTTAAGGAAGAGAGAAATGCAGGTATATTTGAAGGCAATAGGGAATTTTTTTTTAAACAGGTCATGCCAGTAAAAACTTGTTAAAAAAAACAGGTCATGCAATACTAACCTAATTTCCTTTTTTAACAGGGTTACTAGTAAGCAGATCTGGGGATTGGCATAGATCTAGTTTACCTAGATTTTAGTAAGGCTTTTGACAAAGTCATGCTATTCTTGAGGAAAAGATGGAGGGATGTGGGCTAGATGATAATATGGTTAGATGGATTTGGAACTGATTACAAGATTGTACATAAAGAGTAGTTATTATTGGTTTAGTACTGTTTTTATTTTTAAGTTGTTAACTTTGATAACAAAGTATATACAGAGCAGAATTTTAGAAGAGGACTTTACATGAAACTATAAACGTTGATTACATACAGCTTTCTTTTCAAGTATGTAGGAAATCCATGTTCAAAGGTGTCCTGTTATGATTCTTCTAGTCTTCCTTCTGTTTTCTTCTGTGCATTTTAAAATGTCTAAGTGACCTTTTAAATTTTTTCTCCTTGACAATCCTACAACTCTCTCCCACCTTCCTAACAAGTAAAATAAAAATAAAAGGAAAACAAAATTACTGTAACAAATAAACATAGTCAAGAAAAGTGAATTCTCATGTTGACTGTGTCCAAAAAAATGTATGTGTCATTATTCACTTTGAATCCATCACTTCTCTATCAGGAGATTGGTTGCATGCTTACTCATTGGTCCTCTGGAATCATGGCTTGTCATTTTATTGATAGAATTCTTTGTTCTTTCAGAGTTTTTTTTTTAACAGTATTATTATAAGTTGGTTCTTTGGGTTCTGCTCATTTCACTGTGCATCTGTTTATGACTTCTCAGGTTTCTCTAAAACCATTCCTTTCATCATTTCTTATGGCATAATAATATTACATTACATTCATATACTGTAATACGCTCAGCCATTCTAATAGATGAATACTCTCTTAGTTTCCAGTTCTTTACTATAACAAAAAGAGCTACTTCCAAATACTTTTGTACGTGAGTCCTTTTCTTCTTTGTTTTTTTGGGACATGAGCCTAGTTACTTTGGGTCAAAGGGTATGTACTGTTTTGTTACGTTTTGGACCAAAGTTCCAGATTACTTTCCAGAACAGTCCAAGCTGTATTTATGCAATTGATCTTTTAAAAAAACATATCTAAAGGGACATTACTTTTAATCTCTTAATTTCATCTTGTTAGATTTCTTCCACCATGCCAGCCTCTCTAGATCTTTTTGGATAGATTTTTTCTTGTATGTCCAGCACCTAGCATAGGACCTGGTACATGCCAGACACTTGATAAATATTTGCTGATTGATTGCTTGAATAATCAGTAGTTGATGGTTAAAGTTGCTCAACCAGTAAGTAATCCTTCTAGTCATACTATCATGCAGCCCATAGTTACTAATTTCAACCAAAAGATATCACGAGAGAAATATGGACAGGGATTTGTACTTGTATTTCATGGGAAAATAGTGGTTGTGGGGTTTGTATGACCAGTTGTTTCTGTAAGGGCCTTGTGGAAAGTTAACATTGCCATTTGTTTGGTGGAAACAATAGCACCAGACAGAGACAGCCATAGATTCCAACCCACATGTGCAAACTCTCACTGGGTGACTGAGTGACCAGGCCCAGCTTGGTGTGAGGAATGCGTGCCCTGCAACTTCAGAGTTACAATTACTTCAATTGATTTAAAAAGATTTGTTCCCACTTCTTTTTTCCTGAGAGTCTTTGGTGCATAATGTCATTGTTCACCTCTTGCCCTTATAGCTGGAGCAAAGGAAGACCTGGAGAAAGAGAAGTGTTGATTGGATCTTATTTTTCAAATTGTAGCGCTCCAAGAGAATTAGGGAAATAATGGTGTATTAGATATTCATGGTGAGAGGGAAATAGGGCAATGTCAGCTTTGTTGGATAGTCTGGGAATCTTCCCATTATTCATGTTTAGTGCTTGGACTTTGACATCATTTCCACCTTGAAGTACTTTTCAAAGATGGCTTATACCAGTGTGGCCAGAGTCAGGGTATGAATCACGTGCTTTACTTAACAATATACAAACATGAAATGAATTTTAATTTCTTACCTGGATATGTGATGATTTTGTAATTTTTCTGGAGATGGTTTTATCCTTGGCCCAATAATAATAACACTTCAGTATAAGAATTGTTATTCTCATTTTGCATGTGAGGAAACAAATTGAGGTGACTTGGCCATGGTCACTCATATCATAAATGGTAGAGCTGGGGACTCTCAGTGCTTGTGTATATAGAGGCAGCATGGGATAGTGGTCAGTATGCTGGGCTTGGTGTCAGGAAGATTTGGTTTCAGGTCCCACTTTGACATTTACTAACCATAGTGCCGTGGGCAAGTCACTTGACTTTTCTGTACCTCAGTTTCCTTTTCTATGAAATGAGGAGGATGGACTTGATGACCTATATGGACCCTTTTAGCTTTTAATCTCTTATCTTATAATCCTTTTTTTTCTTTAAAAAAGTTTTATTGATTTTTTTTTAAATATTGCCACTCCTTCTCACTAGAAACCCTCCTTTGTCTCTAATAATTATAGTTAAGCAAAACAAATCAACATATTGGCTACAACTGTTAAAGTATGACTTTACCTCTAGTACCATACCTCTAGTTCACCAACATTCTGCCTCCAGGGTGTATATTTCACCATTAGTTTTCTGAATTCATGACTGATTATTACGTTCATTGTCTTTCAAAGCTATTTTCCTTTATGTTATTTTGGTCATCGTGTGGACTGTTCTTCTGGTTCTATTTACTTTCTTCTGTATCACGTCATTTAAGTCTTCATAGTACAACAATGTTTCATTACATTCCATTTCGTTTAGTTTAGCCACTCTCTCAATTGATGGGCACCCGCATTATTTTTTTGCTACCATGAAAAGTACTGCTACAAATAATTTTTTGTACTGCTTTTCCAGGAGAAGTAACTCCAGTATTAATCTATAAATCTCAGAAATGATGAGTGTTCATATAGAAAATACATATTCAAACATTTTTCTGTATTGGTAGAAGAAGTCTTTTGCACGTATTCTTTCCTCCCCCATCCCAGTATTTCCTCAAGATCTCCTTCTATATCAATCAATCAGTCAATCAACATTTATTATATCAGGAGGGATTTGACATTACGAGTTCTTCAGTTTTCCTTATAAACTTTTTTTAATCACATCTTTCCCGTGTTCAAGAACTTAAAAGTGCTTTCCTTAATTGCTTAGTTAATATTCAAGGTCCTCCTTTGTTTCTACATATACTCTTTCTTTTCTTTCTCCCTCTTTCTTCTTCCCCCCTTTCCCTCTTTTCTCCCATCTCCCTGTCTCCCTCCCTTCTCTTTCCCTCCCTCCCTTCTCCCTGTTCCTCTCCCTCCCTAACTTTTTATCACATAGATTTTTATTTTTAATTTGTGTATATGTCGCATTATTCCCACTCTCCCAACCTTCACCTAACAAACTGCGTTTTGAGTGCTATGAGAAACGGGATTATGTTTTTAACATTAGGACTAGAATTTAGGAGTACCTTGAAAGAACAAGCTGCATCAATTAACATAGTACATTTTTTTTTTAAATCCATAAGGCAAAAAAAAAATAGAGATAGTAGAATGAAAGTGTTTTCTGTCAGTTCACACTCCTGGTCCTTCTAGTGTTAACTAGCCTTTTATTTCCCACAGTACTGCATTAGGAACTGCATAGAGGAAGCATTTCATAAATACTTGTTGAAATTGAAATTTATTGAAGTTGTTCCCCATCACACTTACCTTGGTGGAGCCAAGCCATTTCTTGCTACTTTTCACAGATGTCCTATATGTATTGTTTTCCCCATTCAGCATGTTCCCTTTTCTGCATCACCTTATTTAATACCTGACTCAAAGCTTACCTCTTCAGTGAAGATTTTCATGATTAATATCATGCAACCAGTCTTATTCCTTTACTTTCTGTCTTAAGTATTCACTTGTGGTTTTGCACATATACATGTTGTTTATAATTATTCTCAAATTATTTAAGGTTATATTAGAAGCTGAGTTTTCTGTTTTTTTACTTCTCCCCATGGTGTAGTACAGTGTTGTGTGTTCTAGAGATGCTCAGCAAATCCTTTTGACTGACTGGTTATTTTTTATCTTGCAGGTATGCTGGCCGTCCTTGTCTCCGTGCCCACCTGAGCCCCAGGCTCTGTGTCAGAAAGTAAGTGTTTGAGTCTTTAGGAATTGTCAGAGAACAAAGAATACCTTGAAGTTAGTTAAATAATTATAAGAAGAGTTTCAAATAATCACCAAGTTTTGAAATTGAATCAAATGATGCAATATATGTAAAGCAAACCTTAAAATGTTTATATAAACATTTAACTGTTGGAAGGGACTGAAAAAGCCATTTAGTCAAGCTCTTACTGAACAAGAATCCATTTGACAGCGTATCCAGCAAGTGGTTATCCAGCTTTCACTCTCTTAGTATTGCAGTTTATCTTGGATTTCAACTTCTTATTAAATATCATTTCTGTTCTTTTTCTAATGAACAAAGTTAGAAGTTTGTTTTTTAAGGATATTTCTTTTGTCATTAATCAGTTTTCCTCTTTTTTTCTGCTGTATATGACATTATTGATTAGCCTTTCTTAACCTTGCTTGCTTGAATTCTGGCATACTATAACATAATAATGACTTATATTTCTGTAATGCTTTTGCAATTTTACAAGTTACCACCAATGAGATAGGTAGGGTTGGAATTATTTTAATTCTCCTTATTACTCACATTTTATAGGTAAGGCAGTGGAGACTCTAAATGGTTAAATATCTTGCCTAAAGTAATATAGTTTATAAGTGGTAAACCTGGGAATGAAAACCAGATTTACTTAAGTCCTAGTCTAGTGCTTTTCTTATTAACAGTGTTTGCTTCCTATTCTGGTATGTGCTTTTATCCTTTTTACTCCTTTAGTAGCCACTTTGATGACTTTTGGTCTTATCCCTTAGCAATTCTCAGGGCTCAATCTTGGGCCTTCCACACTCATTCTCTCAGAAAGAGCACATTCCTTTTCTTTCTTTTTTAAAAACAATGTATTTTTATTGATATCTTTTATTTCTGTATTATTTACATTTTTCAGTGTATCCCTTACCCCCTCCTCTGAAAGAGCCTTCTCTTGCAACAGAGAACAAATGAAAGGGAAAAAAAAAGCTCAGTAAAAAGAGCCAACGTAATGAAAAATATTATACATAGTGTTCCATATCCGTAGTCCCTTATTTCTGATATTATCCATAGTGTTCCATATCTGTAGTTGCCTACCTCTGCAAATAAGGGAGGGAGAGAGCCCATTCATTTTCTTGGCTTCAGCTATGACCTATATATCAGACACCCCCAAATTTTCATTTCTATCTCTGATCTTTCTTCTTTCTTTACTCTTATAGCGCCTGCTACTCAAAGCTAGTTATTCTGGTGCCCAAGTCAAGTAGCCTAAAAGGTGCCCTCAGTTTGTCATTTTTTTCTTTCTTTTTTTCTATTTTTTTCCCCTCTATTTGTCCTAAGAGAAATTCATTTGTGGTTGGGCGATCTTCACCTCAAGACACAGACCTCATGGAGGAAGAGATTCTCCAAGCCGCTGTGAGGGCTTCATGAGGAATGGAGCTGGGCTAATCTGGGCTGGAGAGGAATTCACTTGGAGTGCTGTTGCCTGATAGCTTCCTAGTTTAATTAATTCTTCTAACCAGGCGCTGGGGGCAGCTAGATGGTGTAGTGGATAGAGTGCCAAGCTTGCAGTTAGAAAGAATTATCTTTGTGTATTCAAATCTGGCCTCAGACACTTACTAGCTGTGTGACCCTGGGCAAGTCATTTAACTTTGCATTAATTTCCTCATCTTAAAAATCTGCTGGAGAAGGAAATGGCAAACCAGTCTAGTGTCTTTGCCAAGAAAACCCCATATGGGGTCATGAGAGTCAGGCTTGACTGAACAACAGCAATCAGGCATTAAGGCCTGAGTATGAGGCGCTTGGCAGTGTCTTTTAAAGTTTGGTACCCTAGGGTAAAGTCCTCAGTCATTCTAGCCTTAGTTATGGCTCTGCTGCTATTTATTTGTAGGATGTTGTCATTTGTATGTCTTAAATTCAGCATGTCACGAGCTAAAATCATTATCTCACATTCCCCCCAAACCAATACCTCTTCCCAGCTACAGTCAACTGCTGTCAATTTCACCATCATTTTCTTAGTACTGTGTAACATTGGTGTTATCTTTGACTAGTCATCTTTAAATCACATAATCTCTCTGAGCCTCAGTTTCCTTATTTGCAAAGGCTGAATGATAATAACTCTCCTGCTCTTTGTACCTCATAAGATTGTTTTGAGGATTAAATGGGGTACTTGAATGTGCTTTGAAAATTGCAAAACACTATACATATTCTATTACTGTTTATCTTACATAAGTAGTCAGCTGTTTTTTTCCTGCCTGTTCTCTCCAGTTTCATCCATCATTTCTTTTTCAACCATTTTTTGACCTCCATCCTCTCCCTATTAAAATACATAGTACATATTGTTGCCAGATTGATCTTATTAAAACATTGCTTTAATCACAATACTTCCCTGCTCTAAAGTCTGTAGTGATGCTGTATTTGGGCCAAATCCAAATAGTATGACATTCAGTTGGACCCAGCTTATATAACCTTATTTTCTACTGCTTTCCATTCTGGTCTGCCTAGCCAGGAAGATTTTATTGGTCTTGTGGGTTCTTTCCTCCTTGCCTTTAATCATATGGTTTCCATAACTTAGAGTGTACTTTCTCCTCAGGAACTAATTATTTCTGTATTTTATTTTTAAGACTCAGGACTCAGATTCAGCAATTCTTCTTTGACTAACCTCATCACTTGGAGAGGTAGCATGGTATCGTAGATAGGTACTGGTCTTGGAGTCAGAATGACTGGGATTTATGTATTGCTTACCTCTGATGCTGCCAATATCGCTATGGACAAGTCAGTTAATACCTCTCAGTCTGTTTCCTCATCTGTAAAATGGGGATAATGATAATACTATCTACTTTATAATGTTGTAATGAGGACCAAATTGGATGACATATGTAATGTGCTTTTGTAAACTTTAAAGGACTATGTAAAAGTCAGTTACTATCACATAATGATTGTTCAGTTATTTTGAATTTATAGATACGTGATCGATAGACAGACAGACAGACAGATAGATAGATAGATAGATAGATAGATAGATAGATAGATAGATCCTGTCATTAAGGAGCTGACATTTTAGTTGGAGGGAGGGAGATAACATAAAAAAGAGCTGAGAAGTAGAGAGTGGAAAAGTGGAGAGTTTGGAGTGAGCATGGCTGGCTTGAATACTTCCTCGGATGAAGGTTTGAGGTTGGAACTCACCAGTGTATATGCACATGATTTCTGTGGTCTGTTATATTCTTGCTTATGCCTTGGAATTGTACTTTGTTCATGTATAGGTCTCCTTTCTCCATCTGATTTCTATAGTAGAAATTCTTAAAGACGGGGGAAGGGGGTCTTCTACATCATGCCTGATATAGTGCTAGGCAGGCAAGCAATTAGTACAATAATCCACTTGTTGAACAGATCTCAACCTAAACCCAATGAAAATGAGAAATTGAGAAGCTATCAGGAATAATTAAGTTGAATCTGCTTCCTTATTTTTGAGACAAAAGTAAAAATATTTGGTAAAATGTGAGTAATAGGTCCAGCTGTTGTTTACTTGCCTGTTTTAGGTCAGAGTCCTACTGTTGGCATAATGTGTAGGCAATATAAGGGTAGATAGACAGGAAATAGAAGATATATGAATATGGAGACATTGAGAAGGTAGTGGTTCAACATAAATGGAACAGAAAGGCAAGAGTAAAATTGGACTATAGCCTGATGACTAAGTTCTGTAGCATCTGGAAGAGGGCATTTCGATCTGTCAGACTTAGCACCCCACATTTAACTGAGTTGGATTGGGAGACGTTGGGTGGGATCTCCCTGGTGAAGAAATGTGTGGTATAGTTGTTTTAGAAAAAATTGCTCCATCTCTGAATATAGACTGTAAGTGGGTGCTTGCCTCTGTGGGCATCTGGAATAATTCACAACCAATTCCTAATTACTCTGGTTATTTTTAGAGAATATTGATTTTTTTCTTCCTTCTCCAGAGCAAGTAATTTGGTCAGTTCCCTGCTAAGTGTCATGGTCTTCAGGTTAACTCTTTACAGAACCCTTTGAATAATGAGTTAGGAGATTGTTCGAGGGCCCTCTTCTTCAAGTAGTTTTTAGTAATAATTATTTTTATTTCTTTCTCATTTCAATGATTTTCTTTCTAGTTAATAATTATTTTTAACTTCTTGAAATCTCATTTCCCACATCTCTCTCTTTGAATGTTGTGTTTGTCCACATATTTATATATGCTTATCTGTTATCAGATATACACACACAGACTTTACATCTAAAGTGTTTTAGGTTCCATCTGTCAGGGAACTGAAGTTTTTTTCTTAGCTGCCTTTTTTTCTAGGATATGGCAACCAGTTCCCTCATTGCTATGATTAATAACTTCTCACAGGATATCTTGTTATTGCCTACATAGAGGAAATTGTTGTTTAGACTAGCTTCATTAATAGCTTTTACAGCCATATTTCTCATTCAGGGCTTAGCTTTTTGTTCTTAACTCTACACTTCAGTACTGGTGACATGGATTTTCACATTTTCCAGATTTTCTGCTCAAGTTTCTCTAGGCCTGTATAATGATTACTTCTTTCACTGAGCAATGGATCTTATTGCAGAATTATAGAATAAAAGAATTTCATATTTGGAAGAGACCTTAGCAGCCAACTCATGGTCTCCAGCCCATGTCCTAAAGAGAAACCTCATGTAAACATAGCTGAAAAATAGTCATGTAGCCTTTGCTTGAAGACCCTCAGTAAGGGGGCAGCCCCTCTATTTTCCATTCCAATTTGGAGTCGTTCTGATTGTTAGGAAGTTTTTCCTTCAGTCCTAAATTTACCTTTTTTTTTTTTGTAATGTTAATCCATTTTTCTGAATTCTGTGTTCTGGGGCCAAGTAGAACTAATCCTTCCATATGATGTCCTTTGAGGTACTTGAAGACAGCAGTCATATACTCCCTGAGTATTCTCTTCTCCAATTCCTTCAGATTATACTCCTATGGAATTGACTTGGCTCCCCTGGTTGTTTTCCTTAACATGTACCCAGAACTG